AAGGGACGAGCAGTTGCTGAAAAATAAGAATAAATTAAATCCTAAATGTAAGCCTTGAATTACTAGGTATTTTTTGCCTGCAGTTTTTGTTGTTGTTGTTGTTATTATTCTTTTTAGGTTTACATGACAGTAGAACGTATTTTGATATATTATACATACGTGGAGTATAACTTCCCATTCTTGTGGTTGTACATGATTTTGAGTTTCACTAGTCACGTATTCATATATGAACACAGGAAAGTTATGTCCGATTCAGTCTATTGTCTTGAGAATAACTGGGGAAATAAAGACCAATTACTTCAAATGAAATGGATCAACTACATTTCATTTTACTTTGCTTATTAGAATATCATTTAATTATCATGATTTGCATGATTAGCATCTACTTTTAACTCTGATTTACACTGAGTTTAAATGGACATAAAACTATTGTCAAGAAATGGAGCGAGAAAATGTTGTTTACAGCATTGTCAGAGATTCCTGCCAGTATTCTGTCTTTCCAACAGCTGCAGCAGGACATGCTGTTGGTATTAGAAAGAGATGTGGCCAAGCTTATTTCTCTAATCTCTAAATTTGGCACATAGGACTCCACTCAATCACCTTTGTCTCTATGAACCTCAGGCCTTTGTCTCTATGAACCTCAGGCCCTCCCTAGGAAACGCTCTGTCATGACACACTGGGACCTAAAAGCCAGGACAGGGCTCAGAATCCCCCAGTTCTCTGCCACTGAGTGCATTACTTGATTCCAGAAGTTACTGAACCTCTCTTTTGCTTCATTGCTAAAATTTTGAATAATGACTTCAAACTAGCACAAAGGAAATGGACTTAAAAGAAATACTTTCTACTGAAAAGAAATGCTAATTTCTGATAGACTTTATTTTCAAGCTGTGCCCAATGTGTTCTCTCTTTTTTTAGTTCATGTCATGGTTGTAATGATCACTAGCACTGCTATTTATGGAAACCACATTATTTTTAGCCTGGAAGGAGGGGGTTGGACAAACTTTGTTTTTTTGGCCTGATCGCAGGCAGCTCTCATACATTCTTAATTTATGGCTAATCTTCTGCTATTATTACGTGTCCCAAATTAATTTTTCTTCTCACTGTGATCAAGGCTGGTTAATGGATTATTTTGCATGAAGCTAAATTTCTCTGGATATTCACAAGGCAGAATTTCTGATTTAATTGTGGGATGTTTTAGCAGGGACATGTTCTGAAGTCTTCCCCTAACTCTTTCACTTAAATTTCATTCTTTCACATAGACCATCACTGATCCTCAGACAAAAAAGAAAAGTTATCTAATCTCTTCACCTATAGTCCAAGTAAAATGAACAGCCATAAAGTCAATTCTTATAGCAAGTGGAAAAAAAATCAGCCTTTTTATTCACTTCTAAAATAAGTTCCAGATGAACATGATGGTTGATTTTGTTAAGTGAAAATTTAGTGCTCAAACTCACTTTGTTTTTATTTTGTGCTGGGGAGAAAATACTTGAGTGCTTTACCCTTAACTATATTGCCAACCTAATTTATTTTGAGATAGTTTATTTTACTAAGTTGCTGAGGCTGGCCTGGAACTTGTGATCCTCCTGCCTCTGCCTCCCAAATCTTTGAGATGACAGGTTTTTGCCACAGTGCCTGGCTCAAACTCATTTTTGTCACAAAACCATCATCAGATGGGACCACATAACAGCCTTTGGAGAACAAAGTAAAGGAAAATATGGAATTTTCTTTTTTCTTTAAAGAGAGAGAGAGAGAGAGAGAGAGAATTTTTTAATATTTATTTTTAGTTTTCAGTGGACACAATGTCTTTGTTTGTATGTGGTGCTGAGGATCGAACTCGGGCCACACGCATGCCAGGCGAGTGCGCTACCGCTTGAGCCACATCCCCAGCCCCCATATAGAATTTCCTAAATGCCAACTTTATTAACATCCATAGTTCCCACCAAGTGGTCCAGTCATTGCCACTGTCATTGCCTCCTCCAAGTCTCTCCTAATGACTGTTAACCCTGTGCCTGCCTCCCTGGCTCCTTGTGTCTCTTTCTCACTGTCCTGTGGTGATAGCATTCCCAGACACTTTAAGAGGATTTTCAGGCAAAAAACCAAGCCCTTGTAATTTTTGAGTTGAAAATGCCCTGTTTAAAAATCTTTACTGAAAAATAATGCATTAATGCTGACATGAGAATTTTTATTACTAGGTTAGATCTGCACTTTCTCATAGTCTATGTTTTCTTATTCATGGCTATGCAAAACCAAATGAACAAAAGCCTTGTGGCTGAGCAAATTTGTGCCAGGGGACACTGATTTCTGAAAGTGAGTATGCCTCCAAATATCACTTCTTTTACCAAAAACTTGCTTCTATCAATTTGTTCTATTCATTCTTGTTTTTATTCATCTATGAAAATTGTTTATTGGAGCCAGGAGTTTTAAGCGTACTAGAAGCTGTGTAATATAACTTTGCATTTAAATTATTAACATTTACTTTTTGAAATTTTCCAAAAAATCCCCCCTAGAATTTATGTTCTGGGATTCAATGCCAAGTACAAGTTCACAACATTCATAATGTTTTACTTTTAAAAAGAGTTCCTAAGTACTGTCTTTGCCTGGGTCTTTTTGACTTTATCCTAAATAAAATATGTTGACACATAATAAAACTACATATCCTCTAATATATTTTCTGTCTTAGACAAAATAGGATTCTCTCTCAAAAATTAGGTTTTGAGACTTTTACTGTAATCCCATTTAAGTAAGACTACTGTGTATACCACTTTTTCAATGTCATCTGTATCAATTATTTGTCACTTCAATATTTTCCATGTCTCATCAACCGAAAATGGGAAAAAGATGATGCCCCTTTACAATTTTCTGCATAAACAAACTGCTACTTTTAGCAAAAACAACTTTCTTTCTACCATTTAGACTATTGTTGAGGGATGGAGCCAAGTACTATTCTATATTCAGAATCATTTGATGATTTGTTGTTGGAGTTGTAAATAGCTCGTGATGTATTAGGGGGCACGTGTTTATTTCCGTTGAAAGAACATGTCCTACTTTTGAGAAAGAAAGAAACTTGTAAGACATCAAATGTTTCTTGCAAAACAATTTGGTGAAATAAATGTAAATGAATCAGAAACATGTGAATTGTATTTTAATTCGAATTACTGGTTTTAAATAGGAAGGGGTGAAGTGCTTGAGGGAAAGAGTGTGGTAAGGCGGGCTGGAGGGGACATTTGTTTTGTTTTCATCAGTCTTGGATTCTTGAAACATGGCCTTGTACTATGAATTCAACTTCATTCAGATTGTGTGAAGTCTAATGATGGACTTGCAGAGCGGAATAATAATACGTGAACTCATTTTACAGCTTTATTTGATTTCAATTATAATGTATGCATTCAACATTGCCACTGTGCAATTCTTTACAATCCCTTTGATTTGCAGGTCATCTTTTTTCTGTGTAATTCTTTTAAGGGTTAACCAGTCATTGTAATGATGAGCAAATATATATTTTTTCACCCAGAATCATACATAAACTTCATCTTTAGTTCCTCTTTCTAACTGAATATGATCAGAATCAAATGGAAAATATGTAGGGGATGAATGTGTCCACATATATACATGAGATGGACAGGGGAAGAAAATGTTCTGGAAGAATGGAGAGTGAAAGAGGACAAGGAGAAAACAGGGACAGCAGAATGAGCGATGAATACCATGTTAGGCTATCAAATCTAATATTATGGCATCCGGTCACACTAAGTATTTGAGAGTTACAAAAAAATTATCCATATCTTCATTTTCACAGCATATATGTTTGCTTAAAAATAGGCACATGGCTTTTGAAAAAAACATATTTTGTATTTTTCAAATAAAAGTAATGTATTACTCTGAAAATCAGGAAAAAATTTCACTTAAAATAAACAAAGTCTTACAAATAAGTTTCTCTGTCTTAAAATATGAGTAAGTTTGATTGGTATGATATTCAAATCTCGGAAAACAGTGTCATTTTAGATGTTTCCAAATTTGCAATTGGCAAGGAGCATGTAACTGGTATACACACATATACACACACACACACACATACCAGTTATATATTGACAAATACATATATATAGTGTGTATATATATATATATATATATATATACATACATACACATAAACACAAATATATATATATATACGTATATATATATATATATATATATATATATATTTGAGATATTATCTGACACTGCTTATGTAGCTTTCAGAATATACCACTTAGCAGAGAAAGTCTTTTCCGCATGAATCGAGGATGTAGTACCCATAGACTATTGTGGTCAAGAGTGTGCTTTTTTGCTTCCTGAGAATGTACTGGTGCAACTGGTGTCAAGCATCTCTCTGGTTACTCAGAACACTACTGCCAGTCATGGGAAGCAGCAGGAATAAGGATTCTGCTCATTGGTTTATTTGTAGCCCTAAGTTCATTGTTTCAGACTATTCTGGAAGTACTTCTCCTTTTTGCTTTTCACAGGTTGGGACTGTGAGGACTTGCTCTTAAAATATTTGTTCCCTAACTGGACAGGAGTTGAGCGTCAGCTTCTAGCACATCTCTTTGTTGTTTTACTACCTTCCCCATCTTCCATTAGCGGATGAAAACTGGAGATACTGGGATGACTGTTTCATGTGTACTAATTAGTGAAAATACAACACTATGGCTGTTTCTGAGTCCTTAAAGTCACTCTTAAGGGTTTCACCAATTGGCACAAAGTATAAATCTTAACCCCAAGATTGGGTCAGTGAGAATGCATAAATAGTGTCACCTTCATCCCTGTTACCATCAGCCATCAACAGTTATAAAGTTTTCAATTAAGTGTCACTATGGAGGATCTCTGTTCTGAACATTTTTACAATGGTATATTTCTTTTCATAAGGGAAGTATTGGGATTTAGTTTTGGTACATTTATAAGACCATAAGGGTAACAGGACCTCATCCTTTGTTTTTTGTGTTGTTCCACTGTTTGTGTTGCAGGCCTATCCTTGTAGCAGTGATAAGGAATGTGAAGTTGGGAGATACTGCCACAGTCCTCACCAAGGGTCATCAGCCTGCATGGCATGTCGGAGGAAAAAGAAGCGCTGTCATAGAGATGGCATGTGTTGCCCTGGTAACCGCTGCAATAATGGTAAATGATTGCATTAAGTGTTTGTGGCCTCTATGGTTTTCATTTAAGAATACTGTCTTACAAGTTAGTTGTTTTTTTTTTTTTAATCCCTGAGTACCAGGTATTGAACCCCAGGGGCTCTTAATTACTGAAACACATCTCTAGCCTTCTTTTATTTTAATTTTTTAAATTTTGAGACAGACTCTCTCTAAGTTACTTTGAGCCTCCCTAAATTGCTAAGGCTGGTTTTGAACTTGCAATCCTCCTGCCTCAGCCACCCAAACAGCTGTAATGACAGGTGTGTGCCACTGTGTCCATCTTAGTCTAACTTTTTACTCAGACTTCTGAATACCTGTGCTTTAGGTAGTATAAGATTACCTGGATAACCTCTGAAATCTTAGTTTTTCTGGGTTCTGACCACCATCTGTATTTTCTGCTGTTTGCTGATCTAGGATATTGCAAAATGGAACTGCCACGTAGATAGATAGATATTCTGTTCTGCAAAGCACATAAGCAAATACATGCAAAAATGCAAAAGAAGGTGGTAACCTGCTGTAATTTAGTAATGCAGTTGTGAGTCCTTCTTCCAGCTTCATGCCAGTTCCTGCTTTAGTTCTTATGTTGAAGATGTCATGGGGCATGGTGACAAAATTCCTCCAAAAATAGACTTGAGATTCTATCCCCTAGCCTGAATTCATCCAATTTCAATGAAGTTAGAAATAGACAATTCAGCATTAATAATTAAATGAAGAATCACAATACATAAAAATATTAAGTAATAGCAGAAGGTAGTTAGAAACATATAATTTGTCATGCATAATAACAGAGTCTAGTTCATATCACTATGCATGCTCTGACCTCTAGCATAGACCTACTCTGCGTACCTTGCACAGAAAGTAAGTGGAGAAAAAGCTTATACCATTAGAGAAGTTTGCAGTTTAGACAGAGATTGTATTGCTAATAACAACAGCAGCAACAACAAAAACAACCCTGAATCCCCAAGGAGGTCATCTGGTCAGATGATTTTAAAAACACGATATCTAACATTAATTTAATTCTTTAGCAGATAACTTAAACATTTTGCATATATTTACTGTAACTCAGTGAAGATAATTCTGTTTTTATTCTTTCTAAAATTTTTTTTTGTAGTTATAGGTGGAAAACATGCCTTTATTTTATTTGTTTATTTCTATGTGGTGCTGAGGATTGAACCCAGTATGTGACTTGTGCTAGGCAAGTTCTCTGCCACTGAACTATAGCCCCAGCCCCAATTCTGTTTTTATTCTCATTTTGTCCAAGGTTACTTGGGTTTTGAAGGAGATAACATTCAAATTAAGAAAGCCTGGCTCTAGGGCCAAAGTATGCTATACCCAACCTTAGTAAATAAGTGAATGAATGAATGAATGAATGAATGAATGGGTGAATATGCAGAGAGACAGATAGTAAACAGATAAATGACTTAATACCTCATCTCTCGGTAAGTGCCAAGTTTATAGAATTGAGCTGTTCTAAATGTGTGCATCACATCTTCAGGCATCTGCATCCCGGTCACTGAGAGCATCTTAACCCCTCACATCCCAGCTCTGGATGGCACTAGGCATAGAGACCGAGGCCATGGTCATTATTCAAACCATGATTTGGGATGGCAGAATCTCGGAAGACCACACACCAAGATGTCACATATAAAAGGTAGGGTCTATCTGTACCTCTGTGCTTACTTTTTCTTGTTTCCATAAATAAGTAAAAGAAAACTATAGGTGATTAATTTCATTGATTTCAGAAAAAAGTAACGGCAAGATTTAAAATGAATTCATTCTTATTTTTGAAGATGCTAGAGTTTCTTTAGCAATCTTAAATTGTTTGAAAATAAATATTATGAAAATCATAGTACCCTGATGATTCAGATCATTTTCTAAGCAGGCCTTCCTTTTAATATGAAATTTAGGAGAAATATTCTATACAAACATACATTAAAAAATAAATGAAAAATCCTTTGCTGCTACATGATTAAACCACTAAGCTTATGAGTCATTTTCTCACCTTTGCAGATTCAGGAATATTATTTCACTAAGCAACCATATGATGTGCTATTTATAAACCAACTTATCCCATATTGTCGATTTACTTTGAGATTTTGTATGGCCATATGATACCCTTCCTTGCATCAGAATACTTTGGAAACCTAATTGCTTGGAAAGCATGAAATTCTTGAGATTGAATCATTAATAGTAAAATTTTGAAAACACGAATCCCTAAGTTTTCAATATTCATTATAAAATGCAGCATTTCTAAAGTGTATTCTGTGGAGTACCCCCTTTCAAAATGTTACTGAACAAAAGGGCCCTAGGTCTAAAAGAATTTCATAATAATACATCTTCCCCTTTCCAGGACATTTATAATAAACATGGGTATACCAAAGTCTCTGAGAAATCTAGCAATGAGAAAACCTGGTTTTAACTTTTTAAACACAGTATTTCTATAGTTTGACCACAAAAACTGTAGAGCTAGTATCCCAGAGAATATCTGATCCATTAGTCTGACTCAGACTGTTAATGATCACATGGATAGTGCTAAACATATTGACAAATAATCCCCCTTCAGTTATCTTTCTCTACACTCATTGAGGTCCTATATTCTTTTCCTGTTTCTGTTCCACCAAATCCACTTACTGTTACATTCGTATATTTCTTGATTCTAACAGATACATATTTCACCATAGTTTAAAATTATTTTTCACAGTAGTTTAAAATTATTAATCATTTTTATTTAATAATATGTAAAATTTTTTGAATGACAAATAGAAATCTTAGGTTGAAAGGCAAATGAGTTGTTCCCAGATCTCACAGTGGGACTAGCTTCATCTTGGATAACAGATAACCCTTCAGACGTAGAGACGACTTCACTATGTCCTGTGATCCCTTTCTGTACTGCTACCTGTTTCAGTGGAAAACAGATTGATCTGTCCATATGGGTCTTATCTGTGACTGCTTTTGCAAAGCAACAATAGAGCTGAGGAGTGACAGAGATCATATGGCCTCAAAACCCTAATGTATTTACAATATGGCACTTTACAGAAAAGTTTGCCAAACCCTGCTTTATATGGATTACGGATCCATTCAACCATGATGTATGGGTGGGCTATTCGCTGACTTCTGGATACAATACCAAGATTTGTATTTCCACATGTTCTTATAAGGGGTCCTTGGTTGCTCCTTGGAGCCTGTTTGCTCTCAGATGGATTAACTGCCCTTTCTCTACTCTGCTCTGTGTCGCAGCTCTTTATAGACTGCATTGTCTGGGCTCCCTGTCAGATTCACCTGGCTCGTTGAGCCAACATATTCTCCCATTTTTACTGCTTCAGGTAGTATTTCTGGCAGGGCTATGTCTCCTTGTCGCTTTAGCTCCTGATAGGTATGCCTGTTAGGATGCCAGCCTTGGCTAGCATCTGAATACAGCCTCTGGATTCTGACATCACCTCCTCCTTTGGTTCAACCAGCCTAAATGTGGTAGTAGCATCTTCTCACCATCCTCCGGTGATTCTTAGCTCAACCACTACTGTGTTTTACCAATTCTATGCATACAATATCTTCTGGTTTGAACACTTAAAGTTTCTGTTTTCCTGACTGTAATTGATAAGTAAAGTAGTCTTAAGAGGAGTCCCTGAGCATCTCAGCCTTCTCCTTGAATCAGAAGTTTGTTCTGATCTCTCAAGAAGAATAAACTTACTTTGTGGATCTCAAAGTTAGTTTGAGATCAGTTATTTTACATTTTTGTCACTTACCCTCTAGGAAAAAAATAGTTAATGATCAGGGAACTATCTAAAAGTAGGCCGTCATAAAGTAAAGGGGAGATGAAGCACAATCCTGGCTAATCATTAAGTTTTATATCCAGATAGCAAATAATGGAAATAGACAATAATGGATTTATATGAGCACAGGGAGAGACAGATGGTATGAATCCAAGACTTTTCATTGTAAATTGTATAAGATACTATAAGTAAAGTATTTTATGTGCTTCAGATTGCAAAGTGGAACATTTTACAGTGATATCTTTTGGTGGTGGTCTCTGCAGGGCATGAAGGAGACCCCTGCCTGCGATCATCAGACTGCATTGAAGGGTTCTGCTGTGCTCGTCACTTCTGGACCAAAATCTGCAAACCAGTGCTCCATCAGGGCGAAGTCTGTACCAAACAGCGCAAGAAGGGCTCTCATGGGCTGGAAATTTTCCAGCGGTGTGACTGTGCAAAAGGCTTGTCTTGCAAAGTGTGGAAGGATGCCACCTACTCTTCCAAAGCCAGACTCCACGTGTGTCAGAAAATCTGATCACCAGTGAGGAGAATCACCACTAGAGACTGTGAATTCATGTATTTAACGCATTATGGCATGGTGGAAAATAAAGTTTGGAATGCATAAGAATGGTGTAGATGATGAAGGTGATAAGAATATAGACCACAGAAAGAAAGAAAGAAAGGAGGACTGAATGAATTGGAAGGGTGTCAAACTCAGCGCAACCAGCAGGCTTCCATTATGCAACTTGTTTATGTAAATAATGTACACAGTTGTGAAAATGCTATTAATAAGGAAAAAAAGCACATAGTGGAAATTACTGAATTCCATATGAATTTCCAAGAGTTTAGGTTGTGCTGGAGGAGAGAGTTCCTTCAGGTTGGTGATTGCCTATAAAAATAACCTAAAATCCATATTTCTTTTCAAAGTTCTAGTTTAACAAAATACCCCCAGTTTACTTTGATGTATAAGTTCTAAAACATGGAAAGAATTGATAAACAGGAATTGAAAACATAAAGCAGAGTTAATTTGCAAGAGAATCACTTTTTAATTTGCTACTCTACTTTGAATGCTCAACTAAAGGCCTTGGGTAGAGAAGGAAAAAAAGCAGTCAATATTTTCCAAATGATTTCAAAATAACACCAGGTCTTTCATCAAGATCTTTGGAAAAAACAAACTTGTTCTTCCTCAAACTGCTTATTTACATTGTTTTCAAAAATTTAACTTCACTTGTAATTAATAAGAACTGATATAAAATAAAAAACAGTTCCTTAATATGAGCTGTCTTGCAGCAATATGGCATAATGAATCCCACTTTTATGTATAATTAAATGCACAAATAAAAAACAGTTCCTTGATTCTGAAGGAATGACATGGCATCTCTCTTGATTGTATAAGATTCCTACCCTGAGTACATTTTATTTTCCAAACTGTATCCATTAGTTGTGACTAGTGCAATAAATGCACAGAGAAGAGTTTTCACAGATTGCAAAATGTTTAAAGATATCCAAAATATGTGGGAAATGAAGCTAATGGAGACATAATTATTTTGAAAAGTTTGACACACTCTAAGTTTTGATAGTATTAGATTGATAAATATGGTTCTTTTTTACATGCTTTGCAATGGACTAGAGTGAAGCTGATAATAGGAACTTGAGTAATATCTATATTGCACTGAAGCACAGTAAAGAAATGGGGAAAGCTTTGTCAATTGTCCAGGTTTGGGCAACACATAGATCTATATAAATATACATCATATGTCTGAAGCACAAGCTGACTTTTTTTCATCTTTGAAACCAGAGACTGCAAACCTACATGGAAGTTCTCCATGGTATTCGCTATTAGAATCCTTACTATGCAGATGAGTTCATTGTGAATTCACTTGCCCTTCCTATCCTCAAAATATTTATTTTATATTTTTGAGGTACTAAAAGAATCTTAATTATGAGTATGTCTCACTACTCATGAGATAGACAGTGCATGAGATTCCTTGTCCTCTTAAGCTTCTAATCAACCGATAAACCATCTGATTTTGCTATCTAATTTTTCTGCACCAACCTCTCTCTGCAACAGCCTTTTATTGTCAAAGATATAGTATCTGGTTTTGCAGCCACTGAGGTTTGAAAAAACATAATAACCTGTAAAATCTACATATTGCTAACCTATAGAAACCACAGTTCTAAATTCTTCAAAACCACTTTGCTACTTTTATTTTTAACCAGTTCTAAATATTATGTCTACAGCATAAAAGGAAGAAAGTTATCTTATAGTTGTTATTTTAAACTATTATAGACTGCAAGTCACACCTTAATTTTCTTTTACTTAGACCCCATCTGCAATCTCAAATTTAAGTTCTCCTGGTAGAAATTGAATCTGAGCATGGATATCTACTAAGAATTTCAGCTTCCCACACACATTTACTAGGATGATGAAGACTTACGTTTTCTGCACATGTCTACAAAAACTAAAATTATAAGCTAATTTATCCAAGAGCCAAAGTTTGTGTCAACAAGTTATATAAGCTTAGTGACATGAAAATGGAACATTTCAGTCAAACATTTCCTATATAGCAATTACATTTACAATCTGGTTTCTGCATTATTTCCCTTATGTTCACCCTTTCAAAATTATTATTTGAAGTAATTTATTTACAGGAAATGTTAATGAGATGTATTTTCTTATAGAGATATTTCTTACAGAAAGCTTTGTAGCAGAATATATTTGCAGCTGTTGACTTTGTAATTTAGGGAAATGTATAATAAGATAAATATATTAAAATTTTCTCTCCAAAAAAATTGAATTCAAATTTCCTTGTGTTTTGCTTATGGGGAAAATTCTAATGGATCCATAATTTTCATGGTTTAACTGTATTTGGTCTGACTCTGTAGCCTGAGTGGGAATTCTTTGGATGATATCACCATGAGGTAATCCAAGGGAGTTTATTCTTACTGAGGTAGCTCATTACATGGTAGGACAGTGGTAATTGTAGGAAAGTTAATTTTTACTTAAATAAAAGTATTCCAGCTTGTGATTTCCACTCATTTATTCTTCTTTTGGAGCTTTTTGGAGCAAGGAATCTACAGACTTTTTCTAAATACTTGAAGATAGCATCTTCCTCATAATCTTCTCTGGGCTAAAATTTTCCAAAGTGGAGGTGCCATCATGCTTAGGGATTGGTTCATTTCCATACAGCACAAAGAAGCTACAAGATGTCTCTATATGTGGATGGTGATAGACTAAGTAAGGGCCCTGATGAATTCAAATTCACTTCCTGGAAAATAGTTCTTGCCTCTGCTTTCTGAACCTAGAGATATCAGGAGGGTTTGACCAACAGTACTCATCAATTATGAGACCAAGAATAGTTGTAAAAGCCATGATTTATTAGAAATACCAATGGTCTGGAGATGTAGAGATTAAACATTCTGTAACACAGTGGGGTAAATTAAGTGTAGCCATGGAGCTAAACCAGTCCCATAGCTACAGGTAAGAGTTGAAGATACCTCAAGCATTGCTGAGGTAAGTTCCACATCATTTTAAACAGTCAGTTAGGATTTTCCTAGTTATTTGTTTTATCAAATTAAAACATCAGCTCTACACTATGGGAGTTTCCCTGTAAAATAGGATAGAATGACATACTTCATTCTGGCAGTTAGCACCAAAGAAGAAGTCATAGGGAAGAGGCTGAAGTATGTATTTCTCATTCAAGAACCTTGTTCAAATTTCTACCAAACTAGACAATTTCTATTATATAAGAAAAACAAGGAAGGGATGCAGGTCAACCAAGATTATTATTCCACTCTACATTTAACTAACATTAAGGATTAGAAAAGAAGGACTGGTCCTTCCCACACAAATACATCATTCCCCAGATAATTTTTAATTCAATATATAACCATTTGTTTATGATGAAGGTTGAGTTTGAATCACTTTTTTTGAATCAATTTTTAAGTCAATACATAACCATTTGTTTATGATGAAGATTGGGTTAGAATCAGTAGATATATGATGATATCTCATCAGCTATCTACTGGAACAGTCTATGGTTTGAATAATATTTGTTTCCCCGGAAATGTTTGTAGGGAATGTGATCCCCCTGATGGTGGTATTGGAAGACGGTCAAGATTTTTAAGAGGTGGTGATTACCAGGAGGTCCTTAGATCATTGGAGGTGTGTACTCAGAAGGGATGGGGGGACCCCAGTCTTTCTCGCTGCTCCTGGTTGGAGATCTAATCACTTGCTTGTTCCCATGATTGCTATCCATGTCATGAGGTAATCTACCCAACAGATAGGCTATACCCTTACCATATAACCTTCTTATACCATTGGAACTTTCAGCCTGTAGAACCACGAGTTTAATAAGTCCCTTTTCTTCATGCATAATCTGTGTCAAGTATTTCTTTATAGTAATGGCAAGCTGACTAACACAGGCTGTCTCTCAAAAGATCATCCTCTCACAGCCAATCACTCCTTCTTGTGTATCTTCTCAGGAAGATTTTTGTTCCCAAGAATTTGCAAAATGGGTAAAAACAAATAGCATATAAATTAAATCACCTCCAAGACCTTTTTCTTTTTAACCAGGTCTGGAAAATAATTCCTCTTTCTTTTTACCATTTCAATTATGTTTGTCATATTATCTAATTTATCCTACTAAAGATTCTTCAGTGAAAATAAATGACATGTTGAGTATCTGATAATACAATATAAAAATTCATTTAGAAAATAAAGTCTCAATAATATAGAAATGTCCCTCATTTTAATGTAACTCCTCCTCTATTGACAATTCCATAAGGAGAAACTGAACTACAAAAATGAAATCTTCTTGCTCATTAAAGTCAAAATAAGTTGAGGTCCAAAGGAATTAAAGTCTGTAATTGTTATCTTTCTCTTTTAAATGAATCCAAAGGAATCAAAATTCAAAATCTTCCATTTGGGGGCTACTATATTCCTTCATTATTCCATAGTCTTCTCTGTCTCAACAAGAGGAGTGCTGGTACTTCCGTGAGCTGGAACTCCTTCCACAACAATGCCTGGACAGTCTCTTACTGGACCGAGTGCAGGTTCCATAGGGCCTCAGAAGATTTGTTAGTTTGACAACAATTTCTGATATTGCTCACTTTAACAAAGTACAGTAGATGTGTAGGACACAAAAAATTACGCAAAAGATGCTACCATATTTAATCTCTTGTTCTTAGAGCAGATATGTTAAGCAAATTGCTATTAATACACGTAAGACTTAGTATTACCAAAACCATAGCAGAAATGTACAGAATCCAAGTGAAGCAAGACAGATGGAGAAAAATCTAAACCAGATATATGGAATATGTGGCCTATGAATTTGAGCTTACTTGGGAAAAATGTCCCATCAAGAAGTTAAATATGGCACTGTTATTTCAACATGGTAGTGTGGGTGAATACTCCACCTGTGCATTCTGTCTTTTTTTACAGGACGAGTGGTATTTGAGGTTTTGCTTCTTTCATGTACAACTGGTCAAGTTTAGAAATTCATCATGGTGTTAGCCTCATTTTTCTTTTACATACCTAGCATATGCAAGTGCCACTAGTGCTTAATTGAGAATAGGCTCTCTCCAGTGATGTCGCTTCCATAGTCTCTTAGAAGCTAGCATTTTGTAGGTCTGTGTCACAGTGTGGTTTCCATTGCTTCATGCTGTGTGGAACTATTTACTCCTTCTTCCCTGCATTTGTTCTCATTGTAGAAGGACATCAACAGA